AGGAAGGATTAACAATTTGAGCATGTTCATGAACAGCTCGCCTGGGAATCCTATCAGCATCACTGCAGTTTTCCTGTCTTCAATGTCGGTGATGGCGTTTACGTTTCCGTTCGCTGCAATCCCGATAATGAAGCCGATCACGACACCAATAAGAATGAACGACAGCAAAAGATCGCTGCGAATGATTCTTATACAAGCTCTCAGACATCTAAAAAATGCGTTATCCCTCTCTACTCTTTCGAGGAACCTCATTTTTCGTTTCGTCGTTTGTGATGGATGCAGCTCTCAGTTTCGCCAGGCAGGTAGAGCTCAGACACAAGAGGTCGAGTCATAAAAATTCTTCGCAAATATACGTTATTAGGAATCCAGAATTATGGAGTCATCCTATCACAGAGAGAGTAAGACTACCATGTGATCTTAATAGTAAATTTCCGTATGATTTGCAAGCCACAACTGAAACAACGACTCAGCATCGTGTTTGATTTTCCATTGGCTAATGAGAGTAGGAGCAACGTTTCGAGTTCGAAACCTCTCTTTGCAAACATGGTTTTTACGACAAATTAAGAAACGCATCCCAGTACGATTTTGCTAATTTTATGTTCAGTTTTAGCGGGCTGTATTAGGGACACACTTTTTTCGTAATTGAAACAAGAAACTTCTTTTTTCTGTTTTGTGAAAGGAAATTATAATATCAAACCCATGCATATATTGGAATTGATGTTTCGTTTCGCAGTGTGTTTTGATATAGGAATAAAATTTACCTTTTATTTCATATTATTATCATATACTTTTGTAATGGCCGTAAGGGAAAGTATAGTTTTTATTTATTTTTTACGGTTTCCCTCACGGATGGAAGCTTCACTTTTAAAGAAATCTGATAATGTTAATTTGCTCTTGTATGGAACGGTTTACTCCCAAGCATGTTAGTGCTCATTCACGTTKTACWTTTGAAATTCTTCCGTGTAAGGAARAAACGTCTTTTCCGTAAATAAAGAGTAACATAAACATTAAGATATAAACTGAAACTGTTTTAAGACTAAGAGAGTCAAGAATAGTTTTTTTCATAAATTACCTATCACTTTTGACTTTTTTTTGTGCAAATATTTCTGTTATTCTGAAAATTGAATAGGCCTCAAGCATGATGACGTTTTGCCTACACTTCCAGAATCCCTTTCGGTAGCATTTTTTCTTTTATTTGATTGTTATGCTTTTTCTTGGTATTCTCAAAGTATACACTTATTTCAATAAAGTTAGTCACCTGAAAAGCTATAAAGCTGAGGCCGACCAGGATTATKGGTAGATTCATTTTACACGTTYAACCGCTTGATAACTGTTCATGGACTTGCGAATCTTTTACCGGTTACAGTCTCACCTCTTCTGAACATCATCGAGCTGCAGTTTGTATTTAAAAAGCTTTGTATATATATGCTTTTTTGATATGAAAAGTTTCCCATGATCCCAGCTTTCTAGGTTTTTGGTGACTAACTTTATTATGTAGCTTCAACATTTGAATCAAAGAGATTTTGAAAAGGATTCTGGTACTTAAGTTATGAAATGTCATCGCGGGCTCACATTCAATCGTAATCTGCCTTGACATCTCYTTACTAGGATATTCCTAAGTACATAAATCAAATTTTGCAAGAATAAGTTTGTTATATTTTTTGACCGAGGAATTTTAAGAGTTTAACAGATACTCGGGGGTCCGGGATGAGCAAAAACTATGACAAGAAAAATTAAGCATTCAAGTCGTCTAGCTATTGCTCACTATTCTTTTATGGCTCTTATTATTACAGAATCACAAGGAAATGGTTTGGCTCACCATGCCTCGAACATTCTTACGCAGGAACGAACTGTTGATCTTCCTTCAAGTATCGGGAACGTATGTATGACAACAGCAAGCCAAAATCAAGAGCCACACACTGATTCTCCGATCCAAACACACCAAGCTCCTTGTCATTGAAGGCGATTTGGACTACAAATTTTCAGTTCCGTCAGATGACAAAAGGGTAAAATATGACACCACGCTCATTGACTTCAAAGACCGCCGACCGTCTGCGACTTTTATTTAGTGAAAAACTTACGATACCACCATGAAGTGACCGTCATGGTACCCTGTCCAAGTATTAATTTTCATTGGCTGAGAATTCGCGTTCTGTGATTGGTTCAAAGGATATCATGGATCCCGCATCGTGACAGCATGTGTCGTGTAACACAGTTGGAACAAAGTCTACTTTATTTGAGGTCACAGTAATATTGCTTCTATTTGACTCCAATCTTAATTCCGAAAGTAACTCAGTATCCGGCTGTGATACTACCACAATGCCACAGGTAACCCAGGCTTTATTTGCAGTCTTCTGTAAAGTCTTCATAAATGTATGCGCAAAGATCAAGACACTACTGAAGGTCTGCTAAACAGTTTTTATTGAAGATTACTGAAAATTAGGCACGTGGACCCCCAACATTAACCGTACACTGGCATCACATGTGACTGAGAGGCCGATTTTGGGTCGCTTCCTTCGCTTCAGAGATTTTTCTCCATCTGCAAAACCTAAAACTCTAAGTTCCAATGCGATCTATGAATTAGCAGTGCTCTAACTAGATCAGCCAAGAGATTATTCCAGGGTTCAATAAAATAAAAAGATTTAAAAGACTGTCCAAAAAATGGCTTGGGCTCCCTGTGCGTGGCAAAATCTGCTGTTTGTAACCTGTACGGTGGGTTGTCATCAACACTGTAGTTAAAAAAATAGAAAGATCACTGCTCTACAAGCTATCAACACATTCGTCACGAGTCGACTATTAAGAAAGATTACACCCTGTTGATCAGTTCTGGCATGCGCGATGTTCCCTGCCGCTCCGAACCCTCCGAATAACAAACTCTGAAATATTTTGGTTGGATTTGAGTTGAGCGGATTCAACGATGGTTTAAAATCTTGTATCTAAATACTACATCTTCTTCGTCAGTGGACATGTCTTGTCCACTGCGGGTCTTTTTGCCATCGTCCCGTGGTCCTGAACGTCATTAAAACAGCTTGGGATTTGTGTGTGGATTTACTTGATTGATTCATACAGCGGGACTACGAGTATGCCCTACAAGAAATCGAAAAAGTCCAGAATTAAAGATCTCAGTTCTTTGGACAGCAGCGATGATCCATCATCATCAGTTGACGATACATCAGAAGTATCGAGTACATCGGTGGATTCGTCCAAGTTGGAGAAAAGAAGAGATGAGTTAAGCCCGAAGTCGAAGATAGCTAGAAGAGCCAAATTATGTAAATCAGATTACTCGCCAATTGTTTCACGTGAGGACGAGATATGGCAAAAGGTACGTAGATGTTGTGTTTTCATTGGATTACCAGTCTTACTAATGATTTAAAACCTATTCCAAAGTGGCTCAACTTTACGTTTATATTTGGTATTAAATTTAAACTTTAGAATAATAAATAACGGTTAATGATTGACATGGGTCGGGTGGGTTGAACGGAGACGACCGCTACATCCACCTAGTTGTCATAGCAACAGAGTGCCAATATCAAAATTAGTTAACCAAATGTAGATAGCATGATGTATAACTAATGTAGAAGTCTTGTTTTAAATAGCTGGTCGTGACTGCGTTACTATAACCAGGATTTCAGTGGTAACCAGGGCCCACTTGTGTACGAAGGGTGGATAGCGCTATCCGACGGATAAATCCCCTATCCAATGGATTAATTTATTGGATAACAGCTTCTATTTATTCGTCGGATAAATTTGAGTCTAAAATATAAATATGCGTCATTCACAACCCTCACCTTTCGAGTGAGGGATGCAACCTAAGAGAAGGATTGATTGAACCATTGCCTTGGGTTAAATCGAAATTCAAGCCGAATTCTTTTGCTCTTACTCAGTACAGAAATTCATGTACAATAGCGATCCAACAACTTGCAAATTTTGTCCTACAAAAAAATTAGTGTAACTCTTTAAATATTACCATACGTCAACCTGACAGCCACTCAAGCCAAATTGAGATAAATACCTTAATTGGGCTTCCTGTGGTTGGGCCTATGCTTCTTCGCCCCGTGATTAAAAGGTTGCTCCATAAAGACTTTTATACCAATATGATTATCCTTAATTAATATTACTTTGATAGCTATGACCCACTATTTTTCAACTCGGGTGTCAGTCGTTGAATTTTCGGCAAACCTTCGACCAACTCATTAACCCAAATCCTCTAATTGACAAGTTACACAATTACACATCAAAAAATACCATTAATTATATCAAATTACACACAAACACTAAAAGATGTTCGTATGTGTCCAGCCTTTCTCCAGTGTGAAGAGCCCTTTGTCTCGTATCGTCTTCTGCTATAGATTGTTCGCACTTGGCCTACTGCATTGAGAAAATACTTGGGTAGATTTATCAGGGTATACTTCTCTAGCTTTACACGTAAATCACATGTCAGAAAGGTAATCAAGCCGAACAATCCTAAGCAGTGGCTTAAGGTCACTTGTCGCTCCATTTAACTTCAACCATTTTTAATGATGATTTTAGAGCATGTTTAGTCTTCAAAGGTAAGTTCAAAACCCCTCTGTTTGATACATAAATATTTTCGTTCTCATAAAAATCCCTAACAGAACTTTAGGAACGTGACTTAAACACTTTATCGTTACTTAGCTGTACTGTGTTGAAGAGAGCCTCAATCAAAGCCCATCAAGAGAATGTTTTCATTACAAATTACTCCTCGAAATTGAATCAAAAATATGCGAAGCAACTCTAGCAACATATGTTTTTACGCTCTTTTTGCATGTGTTCGAGCCACACGTACTGAAAACGAATTTTTAGTTCGCAAACAAGGCAAAGGTTTGAGCAAATCTTGTTTAAAAAATATTAGAATAATTATGCACACTTCGACTAATCCTCGAATGTGGCATCTAGATGAAGCTGTTATCAATTAAATAGCATCCAGATATATCGGGTTTTTTTTTGACCTGCTACTGTCTTGAAGACTGCTTTCTGGAATCTCTTTAACACGTTGCATCAATTTGAGTTCGCTTTGACGTCTGAGTCGAAGAGCATTCTTAGCTGTTTTTAGATCTAAAACTGATTACTGCATGCAGTTTGACTCTTGCTTCAGGGTGCATGTTTATGTTTTTTAAAAGCTTTCTTTGTTGGAGTCTTTTTGTTGGTACACTAGTTTATCATTGAATTTAAAATAGGCGAAAATTYATGCCTAGTTCAATTTTTGCAGAATTTCTTGATTTACGATAACTGTTTTTTTTTTAATTGTCTGGCCATGTTTGTTGGGAAGTATTAAGAGAAGTAATCAGAGTAGCCATTGACCTCTGTTTGCTTTGTCATGCATTACACGTTTTTCCTACGAATGATTTCTGATAGTGCTTGTTATCTTTACATCATTCTTTCACCTTATCTGTGAGGATACTCTCAAATGTTTTGATACCTCAAGAGTATTTTCTACTACACTAAAAATATCGTATCTGCTATCATATCTACGACACTAAAAATATTTCCTTTACAGTTGTTATGCWTTTGAATTCATATTATTTACTATATAAGAATTTACAAATCAATAGAAATATTTCCAATATCGRAAAGAATGTCATAAATATGTATTTYCCCGCGCTTGGTCAGCCRCGGCGACACGGTTGCCATGGAGATTATGGTGTGTTTAGTGACGTAATAAGAGGGTGCTCTGAAATCACTGCTAAAGAATCTTAACTATCCTCGCCCAGAATCCCTCGCCCATCACCTGATGCTCAGCTTAGATACTTCTTAACCATCATCAGAAGTATTCGTGGGCCTCGGATCGAGTGGCACTCAGTTCCCGGATGTATGACGTCACATCTCTTAAAGTCCAAACCCAGTTTACTATTATTGCCGGGGAAGGGGTAGTATTTTGTCTCATCATACGTCGAGAGTAAACAACCTATTTATTAAAATGGACCGATCTTTTCTACACACAGTACCGTCCATCTTCCACCTCCGTTTAAATCAAATATTCTTGGGGTGCACGTTACGTCATAGCCGCCATTTTGATTGACGATAACAAAGCATTCCTCATTAGCTTCTCTTGTACGTTATTTACATCTCAAAGGAATTTTTCGGTCACGTTGTTGCACTCAAASAATAATAGGTTTTTCGCGGAAGGGTGTTCCTAAAGGCTCCAGGCTAAAGTCCATAAGCCTAGTCTATCAGCGTACTAAGTAGGAATTAAAGCCACTTGTTCTCTCTATCTATCCCCCAGAGCGAATCCAACCTGAAGGTTACTCTAGCAATGTCGGAGTCCACTTCTATCTCCAAAACAGGAAGTATGGAATCGCGTGGGAAAAGACACACGTTGGTCCAGATGTTGGCACTCAGTCGAAGTCAACCGGTAAGGATAATGATTTGTAGAGCGCCCATTCTATATGGATATAATCGAAGGCGCTTTACATTGAGTTGTGAATCTCAGTTGTGAATGCTTTTTATGCAATTTACGATATGAGAGATGGTTATTTTGAGGTGTAGGCACTGAGGGTGGTCGCTACCAGGGTTTCTTTACGTCCTATACCCAAGTAAAACAACAGTAGTACCACTCTACTGGCTTCTAGGAAACTCGAGGTGGGTTATCTCATTCGTGTTTCTAGTGTCATCGCAGTTCTTAAAGCTGAGGAGTGACTGGTAACGATCGCAAAACGTACAGATTTATTGGGATTAATGTTGTGCGCGTGCGCGTGTAAATCTCTTTGTTATCTTTAGGAACGGATAAAAATATGACTCAAACTTTTTATATATTTTTTCTAAAGACTAATTGAAAAGTCCAAATTAAATAAATACTCCAGTTTCGAGTTCTCTGTTGCTCAGGGTTAGCCTCGATTTTGTGCAGAATACTCATGTGTTCCAGTGAAGGTYCGTGGAATTTCAAARTGTTTGTATTGTTGAAGTTGTGCATTCTTTACTTTACCGTTGGTAWTTGTGAATATTTAGACACTGATACRAGGCTAAGCCTGWGTAAATGAGTCTGTAATCAAGGAACACAGCGGTAATTTGGAACTSGAMACTGGTCTATTCCTTATTATACGCGCATACAATAGCCAACTAGACGTTTCAGTGTTGGTGTTATAAATCGTTCAACAGCAAGTAAAGCATTGCAAGGGTTTGTTTGTTCCTCCAGGACACGAGTGACTGTGAACTCTCGCCTCAAGATAGTCCTAGCCCTAGCAGCAAGAACGGAAGTCCATTCTCAAAGCCCAAAATTAACCGTGCGTCCACCGATACGGTGAGCGTTAAAATAATAAACGTGTTAAAATCAGCTGTATCTTATTACGGTGCTTTCCGGCAATCACGCGCGCGCAATCGTTCAATATTGAGTCGTTAGAAAATAAAGTTTTGATGGACGKCAATCAATACGTGACACTATATTATACCTAACTAAGCTAACCCATCTTTTAATTGGTATAATTTGCTAACCATTCTAACCAACATTATTATTAACTAATCTTTACATAACCGATTCTTACTAACCATCTAACTTGTATTAAATAACCTAACTTAACTTAACTTAGCATTTCATTTTGAAACTTAACTTTGCATATTTTTTCAATAGCACGAAGGGGAGTTTTGACTTGGTACTTGTGGTGACTAATAGTATATTTTCTCTGACCATATTTCTGTTAATGAGTGGACTAGTTTTTCAACTGAACGCGTTCCACATGGAAACGAGTGACCATGGATGTTTACCCATTAACGACACAAGCGAGATACCGGGTTTGCTGATCATAGCAAGGGGTTAATCATCTACGGTCTAGGGGCCTACTAACCTCTCCCTTAGGCTTCGGCCGAGCTTCCTGATCAGTCTGTAATTCCTCCCGGGATAGCGGTGTCGGGGTCGAAATCTCCAGCGTAGCCGTAAGTCCATACGACGGTTCAGCACTCGATGTCTGGAAGTATGGTCCTGGTTATTTTAGACCAATAACTCTAAACGTTTTGGAATTTGTTATTTAATACCCACTTCAATTGCCAGGGTAGATTTGAAGTCGGTCAATATGTATATTTTTGCAAGTTTGTACAAGATGTGACTTAAGCATTATTTCATTACAACTAGATATTATTTAATTCATAACAGATTACCGACGCGCATTTGAAATATGCATCGTTGCATATTAGTTGACTTGTGACAGATTGCATGTGAATTAAGCTTTATTGCATTACAACCAGAGATCTTGTTGCTTTACAACAAGAAGGTGATTGAGTTCTTAACATTATTGCATTGCAACCAGAGATTAATTTACTTATAACATTGCGCGCATGCGATTCAAACATTATTTGCGCATGCATGTTATTGACCTACAGAAAAACATTGTGCGCATGCGCATACGTTATTTTGTATACTAGACTCGCGCCTCGATAACTTGTTTGTTCTACATGAGATCTTGATAAGTATTGCGTACAGAAACTCCATCGCTTGTCACTATGCAAACGCCTCAGTCACTATGGAACTCAGTGACGCCTAAGTGGTATCTTATCTATTCCGTTCTACTCTTCCTTTCCCCAGGAAATGAACAATATCCACGGTAAGGGAGAGAAAAATGACATTGATAAAGCCACGAAGACAAACAAGAAGAAGTTACAAAAGCAAAAAAGTGATTATCCTTCCTTAACTGTAAGTACGAGACAAATCTTGGTTATCCTGTGTAAGAAATACCGAGAGAAACCTTGTCCCTAGTTTGTTCACGTGGCACTGACGAGATAAGGATTTTTGAAAAGTGAATTTGCTTTCAATTTTGAATGGCGTCTCTACACAGAAATATTAGGCAAAGTGACCTCAAATGAAAGAGCGCACACACGAGATCTGCCTTTCCCTGTAACCATAACTTAACATAGTATAGAACCTTAGATCCAATAGCGAAACTGGGTGAGATCGAGACAAAAGTCGTGACATGGAAATCGGGCGATACACCGCCGTCAATCAAAAAAAKAAAAACAAAAATAAAAACGTAAGAGAACACAAAGGGGTACATGGGAACCGCACTATTTAACAATTATTCGCCGAGGGCGAATTGAATATCGGAGAATATTTACCGAGACGCGAGTCTTCGAGCGGCAAGGTAAATATTCTCCGATATTTACTAAGGCTGAGGCAAATAATTTGTTTTAGTATGAATACACAGGTGATTCTTTCAACAACAAAAAAATAAAAAATAAAAATAAAGAAGATAAAAGACATTTCCCCCCGTTAACAGCAATAAAGCGGCTGGCCGCCATTTTGGATTATCGCTGGAGGTGATTATCGTGTATAGTGTGAGTTTCTCGACCAATCAGCGCGCGAGATTTTCAATAATCACCTGTGTATTTTTACTAGAAGGGTTTATTTGATTGACATTAGTCTGTTGTCTGTTTTGCTCGTTTTTTACATATTTTTTCCTACCAGTTTTGATTTCGTATAGTATTTACAACACTCCTTATCTTGTACTAATGTTTTTTCTAAACATATTTTGACAATTCAATGCCATTATCTGATAATAGGTATACTTTTCCTTTCTTCCTCACTACTGATGATGGCAAATGAATTGCCRAAATTAACACTTTTAGGGGAAAAAACAGTATATAAGGAGTGTCGTACATAATATACGATTTTTAGTCTCTTTACTATACTACTTTTGATCAGAAATCGTTTGATTTGAATTCATAAGAAACTGAAGAATTCCTCACAACCATCAACAAGGGATTAATTGCACAATTTTGTTGATAAGATCAACTAGAATCCGATTTACCGCTATTCATTTTATCTACGGCCTTCCTTTTCGACCATTTTCCACTTTTGTACTCTATTCATCTGACGTCTTCCATCCTGCCTCATTGTAGTCACTTTACAAAATCTTTGTTTTTTACAACATTCAATTCATATCTTGAACATCTTGAACCAATCTGTATAGGCTTTATTCTGACCACTGTCGTTGTTGAAAACAATTTTCAAGTCAGTAAATCAACCGCATTGCACGAATACAGCCTAAACATGGATCGAATGAAATTTCTCCAAATGCCATATGGCTTCTGAGTCGCTTCCGAGTTCTAGCCAATACCTTAATACAATTTATAAAAAAAAAATATAATAATTTGCATAAACTATTCCCTACCACATATATATTTCTTTCATTATTGGGTCGAAAGCGAATTTAGAAACCCGAGGATCGAATATTGTCGTCTTAATTTTGGAAATGAAAAGAAAGCCAACAAAAGGAAGGAGATCTCTGTCAGTGGTCAATCGTGGATTCTGCCTTCAACAAAATCAGTTTGGTTTTCAACAATGATCAATAATCCGATAATTTGTCAGTTTTAGTGATTTATTGCTTTAAGTAAACGTTTTTGTTTACACTATTCTACTTAATGCCAAACAYTTTTATTGTCGGAAAACATGTTAGACATTTTTATGTCTCCAGCTTTGAACCTTCGTCCATTTGCCAATCATCTTTGTGCATAACATTTCACTCAGGATACCATTTCTAAAAACTATGAACGTTATTGATAATTATGAGTAAACTGGAAGATAATTCAAGACCTCTTTGGGCACTACGTGTACCAAACTTTCATAAGCAACGGTCGCTCTCAGATACTTCAGTCTTCGACGTTAAAAACATTCCAGTGTCGAACTCTTCTCCTGATTTTGGACGCCAGCTTTCGGCCGAAGCTGCTTCTCCTCCACCTCCTCTTCTGCAAATTCAGGAAGATAAGGGCATTTCTGGAAACAGTAGGATAGAGTCTACTTTGCCTTCAAGGAAAGAGAGATCGTTTACACAGTTAAAAGAGTTACGTCCAAAATCGCACACAGGAAGCGAAAGAGCCGTAGACTTTATTTTCAAACTTAGAATGCCTGATATTTGGGAAAGAGCTTCTGCAAGAAGTCCATGGATAAATCGTAAATCTAAGACAAAAACCGGAGATACGGTAACATTTCACTTTATTCATGATTAATCGATTTTTGAAAGAAATATTTAAGTCTGTGATCGAAGCTGTGTCTGTTTTTTGATGTGGTTTTGGGTATGATTATTCTTTAACAATATTCCTTCTCAATGGAAAGTTTTATCTAAGCTTTTAACTCAATTTTATGGTGACGGTTTTGTTTACTTTTTGTTGGAGAACAATAATTTCAGTTTTAAGAATAAATGGCTTATCAATAGATTTTTTAAAAAGTTATTAACATCAATTTTTTTCAAGAGGCTTTGTATCATGAAGTCGTTAATTTTGTATCARTCAAGAAAACCCCCTTAGAGTGCGGTAATCGTGACTTCGCAAATTTGTTCATTTACAAATGCATTTTAGTTAAACGTTAGACGACGTGAGTGAACCGGCGTGGCACTATGCTATGTTTCACTCTTGTGATGTTATGGTATTGAAGTGAACATTTTCGCTTCCATTTTCACTGCATTGTCATTTAGTGCAGTTTTCGTATGACTGTCAAAAGCTCAGTGCCGTAAGCGTGACGTGCCGTGACCGTGATACTTTCTAGAATTTTAATTTGCTGATTTTTTTCACGCCCAATATGATTGGTCTAAAAGTGCCGTGATCTTGACGTGACCGTGTCCGCGTCGTGTTTATGCCGTGTTCYGGGTATTTGATTGGATGGAGAGTAAATTCTCGAGCAATGTGATTGGTCTGGTGTATCCCTTGCTGTGTCACGACCGTGTTCGTGCCGTGAACTTTTCACAGTCTTGTTTGTTTGTTTGTTTGTTTGTTTTTTAATTGCCTGCCTGTTTGTGTGTTTGGTTTCCAGTTTTCGTTCTTTGCAAAAAAAAAACTTCTTCAAGTGCCAGATATTTCATCTAATATCATTCTTTTCTCTGTTCCAAAATTAGCCAGGCTATTACTGTACACAACAGCGATAAATATACCCAACAACAGATTACGTGGGTTGAATAATGTTCCACTTATAAAGCCCCGAGGAAGCTCACTTGACAAATTTCCATAATTAATGAGAATAAACTATACTTTTCTTTGCTGTATATCTGAGTGATCTCAGCCATTTTGTTTCCTGCGATAAATTTGAAGTCCATCACTTTTTTACTGCTTTGATAGGTCGATATAGGTATCTTTTCTTGTCTTGTATCTATTTAAAGACACTTTGAYAAAAGGTTTTATTTCTACTAAGTATTTCTTTTGAAACTTTCCGAACACTATTCATCTYTCTCATTGTGACAGCTACAAATGACTTTAATTACTCTTAACAGTTTAAATACAATTATTGAAGAAGCGATAACAATGAAAAGGTTTTCAACGCTGTTTTCTTTTCATCGTTTTTCAGGTATTTCTCGTGAATGCAGATAATGAGTCTTCTTTTGAACCTAAATGTTTTAAGGTAAGAATAATATTCTTTTTTTTTTTCGAACATGTTTTGAAAGCTTTGAAGCGCATTGGAGTTTGCGTGACTGACCAGATTTTTGCGCGCAATATCGGYTTTTTCCCGCGCTTTTTCCAGCCACTTAACTTCTACGTCAAGCCACGTGGCGTAATGTCAGTGATTTGATACCACAATTATAATGACAGAGTAAACGCTTTGTAACAGTATCCGAATAGAAAACATGTATTAGGATAACCCCATGTATTGATTTATAAAGAGGTCTCTTGCTCCTCGTTTTAGTGAGTTGATCCGTCAAATATGCCCACATGCACCACACAGTGTGTCTCTTACCAAGATAGAAGATGTCGTGATCAGTCATATTCACTCAAAAGATGAACGAAATAAAAGTTCTCGTTGCTTCGACTAGGCTTCACACTTCACCTTTATACAAAAGGCCTATCTAGCACATCCGTTTGAGCTCTAGAAAACCCCACTTTTGACGAGGTGTAACCGCCAAAACAAGGCCGGTATTCTGCGTTAAGCTGATTTGATATCGAAACTTTTACGAGACGAAGTGGCTCTTAAGCGCAAACGAATACATTTTGGTTCAAAAACCCAATCATGAGTTTCAATCGCTTGCCGTTCTTGAGTTTAAGTTCTTCTTTTGCTACCTGCTGTGTTTTGTTAGCATTTCCCGTCAAAATTCTTTAAGGTCATCGATAAAACTTTAAGAGCACGTCAAAACAAGTTTGCGGTAAAAAGAGTGACATTTCCCTTTCTCTATCTTGGCTTTTCTCCTGAAACTTTAAAAATATTTTTGACCCCAAAACCTTGTTCCCATAATRAAATAATCGTCTCAATCAATATTATTATTATTTCGACATTTTAGTAACAAGTCTTGTTATGTTCTGAAATATTTATAAGTTTGTTTCAAAACACGTGGTGGGAAGGGAGCGCTGTTTGTTCTCACCACATCGAGGTTTCGTACCTTTGTCAGACATGAGAGAGAGGGTTGTGCGTGTACAAGCCCTCAAGATGGCGCCTAATGAGGGCAAACTGAAACAGGGACGAAAAAACTTCAATTAAAGCTTCTGATCATGGCGGAAAAAAGAAGCTCAAAGTCTATAAAGAAAGACAGAGAATCTGTCGTCAGCCTAAAACCTGTTATTTCTACAGAAGCCAACTTTTCCATAGATTTAAGGCCATTTAAGGTGAGGTGTAAAAAAAAAAAATTCATCCTGGAAGACATGATAACGTCTCTCTCATCTCTAGATATTTCTTGTCTGAGACCTTAAAATACACGCTAAGTGCTTTCTTCTACAGCCTTGACATTCATTTATTTCTTATAAACACGGCCCTTCAAGTAATCAAGGAGATTTTTATTTTATTCCTGTCTTAATACACGTGTGTATACACAACTCTATATGACTTGCAAACTTTCAAAATATTGACTTGAAGTGGCCATCAACGATATTTCTGYTCTCCTCTTTTGTCTTCAACCCGTTAAATTTCAAATCACTGCGCATTGATTTTTCACGCTAAATTTGATAACTTTAAACAGCAATGATAACTCCATTCACTGGAATAAGCAGCGTCAAAATTAATAATAAAATCATTTGCGAGGAGTCTTGCACTACAGGCAGTCTTTGGTGGTTTCGTCCTATCATTTGTTTTTATTTACAAACTCAACGCAAATTATTTCTAAATTCTTTTATTTCCCGATAAAAATAATTTACCGACCTTCAAGGCATCAGGGAAGTGATCAGATCTTTTTCCCTTTATAATTATAGCATTTTTTTGTTTGTTTTTTCTTTAGGAAATCGTACAGGGGCTTTTGCCAATTAGCTATGAAGACGAAATCGTGCAAAAACGAACCCAGATCCTCAGAGATCCTTTACAAGATTTGTTACTCTTCCCTACAGATGATATATCGGTAAGTCAGTTACTGGATATATTTATTCATTTATTGGTGTTGTATCGCAGACATTCACTTTCGCTTCGTTCTAATCTCTATTCCATTAACATGGAGGSAATGCGGTTACGAAAGCCAATTCTCTTCCACACGATTCTTGCTTTCGCTTGAAGCTATCTCCCTTTTCATTGAAACTTAGATTCTTGATTATAATTATGGCTACAGAGCGTTAAAATGCCGGCTATCCACGTTGATTCTCTGGCTTCATATAAGTGTCAAGCGAAAATGCTAATTCTTTAGTCCAGCTGTTGCTTCAAATCATTCCCTGGGGGGTACCCTAGTGCAGGTGCAAATAYCGTGTCACCCTTTGGGGAATATCAACAACACTACCATATCAAAAATCTCCCTATAATATTCATTATCTCACCTAAAAAACACAGCATATATATATATTTTTTTTAATGATTTTTTGAATATTAACAACCTTAAATATTTCTATGGGAGCTAAAAAAAAATTCATGAAATTCCAATATAGTTCTAAAATTCCATAGACAAAAAAAAACCTCATAAGATCTTATCTTGTCAAAAAAAATTCCACTACTTATCTTAATCTTCCGTGCATTTAAGTCTGCACTTGTCAAAATTTTGATTATGTTGCTGTCTTGTTTATGTTTGAATTTTCAATTTAAATTCAGTAATAGCCCCAGTAATAAAAAAAAATTAATCATCTGTCACRTTATATGAAAATAGTTCATTACAGTACACAATACTCTCACCCACCCCTCTGGAAACCTGCATAGTGATTTTTAATGTATACACAGAGTCACATTATTTCCTATGGCATATTGTGTGTTCAATCAACTAGATAGGCAAAATTAAAATTTCATGTTCTTGAGCTTGGGAGACTACAAGAGTGTGGGTAACAGAGAGTGTTGTGAACCATAAGAATTCTAATGTCAACGGAAATCTTTGGCCCGGAGAAGCGTTTCTCTATTAGAGTAAGTAAGAATATCTTCCTTGAAACATCTCGGTAGATTATTTAAGAGGTGTGATATACTGTTTTTTTCATTCTTAATACATAACTTAACAGAGTGGTTTGTTGTATAGCTTCAGTCTTGGATTGCTTTACCTTTCATCACCTCAGCATGGTTTTACCTCGCTTTTCTTATTTTTCTTTAACTTGGAGATCATTAAATTTTTATTATAGTTTCTAGAATCTTTAGCCAGGGTTTCTGTGTGATTTTTGGTTAAAATTTATTGAAAATAGCTGCATTTTTTTTTTTTTATTTAGTTCATGACTCCATTCCGTTGTGAAGTAGACAGAGACCCTTCATTAGCATTTATAGTCTGAGACTCGAAAACATCCAAGGAATCTCATATTCTACAATAATTACGATCCCTTACTCAATCCTTAGACGTATACTATTACATGCTCTGTCACTAAAACGAAATTTAAGCCAACATTTTCGTTACATTTACCTTTGTATARAAATAATTTCTTTTTTTAAATGCTTATATTCTTTAAAATGAAATGTCATGTCTCTATTTTGACAGCATATTCTCCAAAAATATTGATTATATTCAGTTCAATCTTTACTATTTTTTTCAGTTTTTCCCCTCTGTATTATTTATCTACAATATAGATACAAATTTTCCTTATTTGAATGATTTGAATTAGCTTTATTGAGTGTATTGATGAGCATTTTGAAAGACGAAATGCAAGATAATTTTTCTCGGTTGAATAGGCCATGACATTTGAATATTTATTTTCAATATTTCAAATAGTAAGCTATAATACAATTTTGTCATAACAACAGTGTTGTATGGCATTTTTYCCCTTGATTTTCCAAGCCACATATTTTGAGATATAAGGTATAATTTTTAAAAGAGACTAAAATTWAAAAATGGTATATTTTTTGGTCTTTTTTGCTGTCATTTTTCAACGACCACGAGTGGTTGTGGTCAAAAGCCATTATAATACTCCTTATTCACCTGCTTCGAGATCAATCATAAACTAAAATATGAATGATTATTCACTCTTCTAGCATACTACTTTTAAGCTCAAAACCTTCTTTAAATATACTTTGAGCACAAATAAATCTAGGATTTTGAAAACAAATGACAACCTTTAGCTATGCTTAATGGAACATGAATTCTGTAGCTGAGGTCAAGATTACACATGATTCATTAAAACTAAACACATTTATTTGTCTGAGTCAAGATCTGCTTTGTTCTGATCTATAGACTAAAGTACATAAGTGTCTCTTTTTCATAAAAGTGATCTTCACTATATTCATAATGCATAATATTTTATTATACAAATTGCTTTGCTATATTCTATGGAATACTCCCCGTTTTCGTCATGATCACTTTGTTTGTGTTTGAATATACCAGTCAATGTGTGTATATAATATATATCGCTTTAAGGACTGTGATTTTTAGAGTTAGATTTTCTAGAGCTATAGTATATATATATATGGAATCAAATTTCTGTTACTCTAGGATTTGGTTTTTAATGATGACTTCTAATGATATAGATAGAGATTGCTAATGTTCACATTTTCATTTGTTCTGGTAGGCTAAATTAATTTGTTACTAGCATTCTCTTGTGTTCCTTACATACTGCCTTTTAATATTCTATTAATACTTCATACATTGTGGACTCATCTCTGCTTACTCATTTGTGTATATAATTTTTTACTATTTTCTTCACATTTGATGATGTGGGTTATTTTGGTTYATACTGTCTCCCACATTTGTTTATGCATCACAATTTGCATATTCTATACATGTGTGCAGTCAAGCATACTATATTAATTCCATCAAAGTATTCAAAGGCCCTTGATTTGCTTTGTTTGAGGAATACTATGAGTATTAATATATATTTTTATATATAATAGTATATTATTACCAAAGGAACGTTTTTAAAAAGCTTTAATGAATGTATTGTAATATCAGCATATTTATTTGTAAGCTTCCTATTTTCATCAATGCATGGCTTCCAGCTATTCATTAATGTTGTGTAAATATGTTGTGAACTAAATTTGAAATGAAAATATAATGAAATTATAGGTAGAAAATATGTAATCTTTATTCCCTTTAGATAACTGAAATCTTGATACTATAATAATAATACTATAATAATATAAATAACTATAACAATACGTGTTACAACTAAAATTTGCAGAATGTTCATGTTAAATTCCTAGATTTTTCATTCATAAACAATAGCATTTTTCCTATGTCATGTTTATCGCATGCAAAAGCCTCAAAAATACTATTACACAAGATAGTTCACAAATTAAAATCTTAAAACATTTGGAAGGGATTATTCACAAAGCTTCGGCATTTCTGCATTTCTTTATTCATCCAGTTAGAATTGGCATTCTAATCCAATACAYATTCTCTTCCATTTTAATTGGTTGGCATTCGATTTATTATCACACCARAAATGTAAATTTTTCTTTGATTCTACTTTCCATTTGTTGAGCTTTATTTGCATTCATTTAATACTTCTATTGATGATTGCATTAATTTATAATTTATAATTTATAATGTATTAATTATAAATTTGGTATCAAGGTATAATGCTATTTGATTGGTCCAAAAATACATTTTAGTTGTCTATTCAAGGAATTCATAGCATCTTGTGCACACACATTTCATAGTTTCCAGTTTCAAATGAAGAAATAGAAAATGCGTGCCATACTGTGTGCAGTTATAAAGCATGTAGAGATTGGCAGAACATGAAAGAAGTTTTAGGAGAAGCACGACACGTAACAGAGTGCTCCTCAACACTTCTCCAGTGTCCTGCCAATCCCCAAGTGTTTTATAACTGCACACAGAACAGCAAGCAAGTTTTTTATTTCTTTTATGAAATACAAATTGCAATAACCATTATTTTAGATAGGAATGACGCTACTAAAAGTGCATACGAGTGCTGAGTGCACTCATAAAGCAACAGTTATTTTATAAATAGATTTATAAYGCAGATGAATTGGGTTAATTTGTCAAGAAATATTTTATAAAAGAAATAATAAAACGGCACAAAATCACAGGAGTTTGTACTATTTAGCACTATTTAGTTACATGGTTATAGTGTCAGTGCTCTAGTTTGAATTAGAAGATCAGTGGAGAAAGATTAGTATTTAATGACAAAAGTTAAGCCAGAAATAGTTCAATTGCACATCTCCTTTATTCGACTGAGAAATGTCTCTGATCTTGGATTTGAGGCTAACCTGAAAATACAGTCAACTCTCGTTACAGCGGACACCCTCGGGACAGTCACTTGGTGTCCGTAATAGCAAGCGTCCGCAATAACGAGAATTATTTACGGTCATTTCTTTGTCAATATTTGTCGGAGATTTTTCTCCTGTCCGTAATAGCAAGGTGTCCGTAATATTGGAGTGTCCGCAAGGCGAGAGTTGACTGTACAAAAGAAATGGCACAAATTCCATTGTTAAAGAGTGTGATTACTTTATAGTATTTACATGTAATCCTGCACTTAAATAAATTTTGAAAGGGTAGTACTACACTGTAGATACATGCATATGTTCTGCCGGCAAAACACCAAGGCTTAATAATTATGCTCCAATATTGTATTAACCTTTAATTGACAAATTGTTATCTTTTAATGGMATCTCAAAAACCATCACACTATTTGACTGAGGTTCTGAGGTTAGTTTTTTAAAGAATTGTTTGTTTTGAGTTTTACCAGAACATGTTTCTGATGTCATTTATTTTAAAAGACCTTCAAATTCACTATGCAACAACCTCCAGAGCACATCTCACAGATTAAATTAGTAAATCTTTTACTCCGACGAAGGACTAGCRTCCGAAACGTCAGTAAGTTTTTTCATCTTTTCACGGTGTATAATTTACCTTTTCATCATTACTGTTAGATTAARTTAGAATTGAGTGTGTTTAGTGTGAAGAAAACCCCTTTTATTGAGGAAAACTCTGCTCACATGTGATGCCAAGTTCAGAAATTGAACCCTAGACCCCATAGGCGAGGAGGACCCTTGATTTTCATATATTTGTTGTGTGATCAGAAATAATGCCAAGACAGAATACTAATACAACTGCTACAAGAAAACCTGATTTATTTTAAATATGTTTGTGATTTTGACACTTGAATTTCTGTATAAGAGTGATTTAGGATAAATATTTAASCAAAAATTATTCTCTACAAAGTTTTTAAATTCGATAAGAAACATTGATGTTTCAATGTTGTATAACATTATTATCAAGTTATRAAATAAATAAAAATGTGGCATTTAATGCAAAGAATATAGTTAAGTTAGTTCGTTGTGAAAATCATAAGGAATCATTCTTGACCTTGCCTTGGTTAGTGTAAAAGAACAGTGTTCTTAATAATATAATGTATATATTTCTTGTAAGAGTATACAGTCAATCTTAGCAGCTGACCACCAATCGATTGACTGAAGAACAGGCTGAAGTCAACTTTATTTCATTACTCAGTTTCTATTTAAAACCAGTAGCAAGGATGAAAACATGAATGATGATGCTAAGACATGATCACTGATAATAAACAATATTGGTTACCCGATTGGAAAGACATAATCTCTCATAAATTATACCGTTTTATTTTTTCCAGTCAAGTATCCTTCCTAAAAATTGTACCTTCTGATTCAAATAGCTGCGCAAGTGGGAAGTATTTTTTTATATCATGGGAAAACTGGTTATTAAACAACAACAAAAATTGCAAAACAAGTGAAAAGTAAATGGGAAAAAATAAAAAGTTATTTACAGATGTAAAGTCAGTCTGGATAGGGGAAAACTGTGTCCTCTGTCTTGAAAACAGGCCTCGGCCTAACAGCCTCCATCTGTATATTCAAGACCTCATGCACAGTTTTTACCTATCTGGACCTCCTGGCCTGTATATAAGATACAGGGTATATCTCTATGTAAGTTCTTGATGTTCTTGGTGTTTACCCATCTGTTAATCATTCGTCTAACCAGAAATTAAATGTATTTTTTAAATTAAAAATCACTTTGCAGCATTTAAGAATGGCTAATTTTTCAGACAAAGCCATTTTGGACCTGATAGACTTAAAAGGGATATTCCGACATCTTCTGTCATGTGTTCTATATTAAGTTTATACCACAATGCCATGGTGTAGATGTTATCACAGATTTGCTTCACTACTTGCTTGTGGATATCACGAAGATTAAATGTGTTTTGAAGAATCCTCTTTATTCTAAAGATCTTATCTGTCCCTGTCGTTCTTTCAATTAAAGGATTAGATAGATTTGAGTGCAATGGATATGGTATAGTTTTCTATTTAAAACTTGGTCTTAGGATTTTAAGAGGATTATGGAAGCAAAGATATCTGCCAGGTTTTAYGGAATTTATTTGTCTTCACCTCAGAATTTATAMATCCAAAGCCAGYYRACTTGTTTAAAACTGTTTAGTTTAYGTTTGATTTGATTATAATCTATTCATGTTTTCTATAACTGTCTGGTAGACATATACTGTACTTTTATTAGACACATGTTCAYTTTAATTGCTGTATATTTGATCGATGACAAAGATTTTTCTAATCATTTAATGTGAGGATAGTTTGACATCAATCAGTGCTGGCACCAAACCTTTTACTTCTTGTAAGACTTCTGGAGCCATTGAGTCAGATTCTTAATTTAGCACCATCAACATCRCAGGGTTTTATATGTTATTTTTAAATTATGGATACTATTACACCCCTCAGATTATCCCCACATATGATTATAGATTACAGCCATGTTGAGAGCAAAAACAAAGAACAGATTTTTTCCATTGGGAAATGAAGTAATCTTTTATGCAACACGCTTCAAGATTTATGCATTTTACTTCCTYGAAAGACTTCTGGAGGTATTGAGTCAGATCTTTAATTTAACACCATCACCATGGAAGGGTCTTATATCTTAATATTGAATTATGGATAATATTATTACACCTCTCAGATTCCCATTATAAAGGAGATTAAATACAGCAGCCATTATCATGTTGGTAGAAAAAGAAACAGGTTCTTTTTTCTAATGGGAAATGAAGTAATCTTTTATACAATACACTTCAGGATTAATGCCTTTCCTTGAATGATGTAAAATTAATCGTATTTTTATACTCTTGGTAATGTTAAGAAATCTTAATTTGACTTGCTGAACAAAATGTAGACTAAATAATTATTTTCAAAATCAGTGTTGAGCCAAAGTTGTGACAAAAAATAGATTAAGGAAAGCTGTTTGGCCAAATCATTTCAAGCAGTCCTGGATGTTCATGGACAACCAGAGAAAGATAAAACATGATTTAGCTTCCTAGTTATTTTCCACATCAACCACAAAAGTATGCATATATTAACCAGCGAGACACCATATTCCTGCGTTATTCAACAGAACAGGGAACGGGAAGGCTTTTTTTGAGATAAGAAGTAAAGGTCATTAATTATGCAAATACCACATCATATAAAACATTCAATGTCACGATAAAGCCGATATCAGAATTAGCTTATTTTCATGATATGTTTTCGGAAATATAATATGAGCGAGCAGGATGCTTTATTGACTAGTGAGTAATTGGCATCATGTTTAAAAGCTTCTTGAACCAATCACATGGTCAATCTGTTACCATATGTTGTGATTTTTGTGGGCAATTTAATTACAAGGATCRTTGCTTTGGAGTATTATTACTCCTAAATGACGTATATTGAGTTAACATTTATGTACATTACTCTTTATGATGCTTGGATGGATTCCCACACTAGTGCACATGTGTTTTCATATTTCATTTTTTGTGTAATTTTCAWAAATAGATTAGTCATTACTAAACAAAAGCCATAAGGGGGTTGGTTTGCATTACGGAATTTGATAATATTTCGCCCCACTACATTGTACCATGTTGTTCATCATTTCAACTCTGTTCTAYGGGTACATTTTACAATGTAATTTAATTTCCAAATACTATAGATTTCCTTTAGTTTACATGTAGCTTAAGTTTGGGCACCAAATATTTCAACAAGAGTGAAAAGTGCATTTGAAAGAGGAACATTATACACAACAGTTGGATGGTAAAACACTTCATTCTCATTCAATTTGTATGTCATAATAATATGTTTATGTATATATAGAATAATGGCTGTGTAGATTTTATCTATCAATGTAAAGCAAATGTAAAATTACTGCTGTAAATAAGATATTTCTTCACTCCAAAAAAAAAAAAAATTGTATTACCAAGTGGTCTTGAATATTTTCGTCAACACACCAGTTAACTATTATGTGTATTTTGTACAACCATAATTACATTGTACACGTTATGCACTATAGAAATCATCTATTATCATTCTTAGACCAGTCATTGTTCTTTGATTGTTTTGATAAAGTATATTTGATTCACTCATAGCTAGATTTGGTGTTCTGGTACATTTTTTAAAGAATTTTAATTTTTGTAATATTTTGAATTGAATTATATTAGTATACATTATCTTTGGTATTTTGTTTTATCCCCACTTTATATCGTAACATTTGACTGTARCCATATATGCCAGATATTATAAATTAAAGCTCATGCTTAATAATCTACAATCAACCTACGGTCATAACAGAAATAATTTCTTAATCTTATTTTTTATTTTATTTTTTATTTTATTTATTTATTTTATTTATTTATTTATTTTTGTAGTGTATATCCAGGAAGTATTCTTCATTTTATAATGATTATTGTTTTACAATCATACTGTGAATGAATTAAATGTGAAATTCCTTAAATTTCTTTTCAGGCCTATACTATACCCAGAGAGCTGCGGACGGAGCATTCCACAGTCCCTAAAGATGCATTATCAAGATCTACAAATCTATTCACYAGAGAGGTAATTAATAAAGGAAAAAAAACATCTGTGTCCTTTATCCTGGAAAACTTGGATTTTGAAGCCCAATCCTTTTCTAGATGCTGTACATCTTTAAATTTCATCATGTTAAGAATGTAAATATTATGCAGATGTTGACAAAAAAACTAAAAATCAAGCCATGAGATGTAATGGGTTTGGACTTGGTTACTGCGAGTTTTGATATTTTGCAAACTCCAACATTTCAACGGCTAGTTGTAAAATTGTTTTTTTACTGCTGCCAGTCAAGAACATAAAAGGTACCAACTGATTAATTTTGATTTACGGCAGTGAAAAAGCAAATTTCAGCATGCAGCTTACAATCACCAAGTTTGCAGAAGATGGAAAACTGCAGTAACTTTTAGTCCTCAGCCACAACAAAAAAGGTGCCTAGTTGAAATAAGAGYAGGAGTTTGACAGAGATATAAACGTCTCAAAAGATAAATAGGTCAACAATTGCATGTGATTACCTATTGATTTATACCTGTTTCTCTTAACAGCAACTCTTGGAATTGKGTCTATTTAGCACTACCATCTGCCTCAAAATATTATCTATAAATACCTAGAGAAATCATATTAGTTCTTTARTGCCTATTATAGGAATTATGACTGTTCCTTTTGCATCTTTCAGTGTATCCGCTCCTATACCTCTAGCTGGAACTGCATTGAGAATAAATATGCTCAATATTCTGGTAGTTACCTTAAGCTTCCAAGGTTAGTAATCCAAGATACTTTGCTGTAGTCATAGTGGATCATGTCAGTATTATCCTGATGTTGATGAGGACAATGCACAGTCATCTTGAAGTTAATGAGAGTTGCACCAGATGAATATGATTTCTTATGAATGGTGCTGGATTMATCAACATTAATATTAGCTTAGAAATCATTAGCCAGGATTTGGGGGAGAAATGACCTAAAATATCAGTGCAATTGCATTGGTTCTCCCACTCATTAAGGGTATTGACTGAATGGTTTATAATCCAACATTGTCTAATTGAGGTATAATCCAACAATGACTTCTTTTTAAGCTTATAAATCTTTCTCATCACAATAAAGAGAAAGATTTAATGAATATKTGCATGATAATTGTCTATAAATTATGCACTTTTTAATCTATAGCATAGTGAGTTGTCTGGTCTATATGGTCTGGTTATTATTAATAAATAATGTRTTGTGTTTTATTGGCTCCCTGTAGTGCTGATTTATGGCATATGGYGTTCTACATGTACACAGTACATGAGATTGGAATATTGTGTAATRATAATATGTAGATGCTGGTATGGCACATTTCTAGCCTCRATATGCCTTACATGAGTGACATTGCATAACTTTTTCAACTAAAATGTTTCTTAAATGAAAATGTCTTAAGCTTGAATCCTGCCACAGTTTTGACAGTAATATAGAATAAAAAAGATTTTTAGTAACAAGAGATGTAAATCATTACAGTTTGGGGATGCAAGAATATTGAATGTGTCTAGTTAAAGAAAATATCCATACTTTTGCCACAGATGTGACTGGTTTTACACCAGGAAAATTCAYAGACAATATTTACCACAAAACCCCCTCTTTAGACCCCTCCAAATTCTCACCAGACTGGCTTCCAAACCTCTTTGTGAATTCCAACCCCCCTTGCTCCCCCCCCCCCCCCCCCCCCCCCCCCCATTCCCTCATCCATGGGACAGTGGCATAAGCAGGGAAATCTTCTGAAACTACACAACATACATTCCCCAGACCATGCCATTTATTTACATGTTTTGCCATCCTTCCAGAGAGTGTGAAATGGAAAAAACATGGCAGCCATGTTGGATATTAGATATCACCAACATGGCTATACCTCCTTTTGAGACAGCCAAATATGTTTTCTGATGGCTGGAAGAGAATATATATTATTAGGGATAACTCTGAATAATGTCTAATTGTTGTGTCTTGTAATCCCAGACCATCACAAACAGATGGCCTACAAGAACAGATATTTGAAGCAGATTTGACAGATCAGGTGGATAGCAGTGAAAGTGTAAGTATTCCATGCAATCATTTGTACAAATATGACTTCATAGGTTCTTTCTTGTATTGGAATCCTCTGAGGGGTACTAGTAGCGACACAAGCTGATTCAACCCCATCATCTCATTATAAAGAGAAGCAATGCAAGAGTAAGAGAATGGAATCTTTGGCTTGCATTTGTGCTGATGCATGCAGCAACACACGACTCCATTATCTCACTGAGTGAAGAACTAATGCAAGCAGAAATGCAAGTGTAAGAGAATGAAAGCTTTTGCTTTTCTAGCCTTGGCTTGCATTTGTGCTTATGCTTGCAACATGACGCAACTCCATGATTTCACTATGTAAAGGAGCAACGCAAGCACAAGAGAAAGGAAGCTTTTACAAGTTTTATATATATATGTATATTTTTTATATACCCTTAAAAGGGGCCTCTGGTATAGGGAAAGGGGAGTGGGAAGGGCACACAAGACTATTAGAAAGAACACTTCATAATGAAAGCATTACTGAATGCTTAATGTATTCCTCATCTCCTATCTCAGTTCCATAGGGGCGTAGGTAGTAGAGAGGACATATTTTCTATATCTAACCAAAGATRTTATTAACTCTAGAATTATGCCATGAGTCCTTTAAGAGAAAAGGGCATCACCAAGCAAGGCTACCTAACCAAGGCACCATTCCATGGYGAGAACGACAAAGTTAACTCTATAACTGCTAAGGTAACCTTTGATAGACAGTTATATTCCCAATAATCCTCAAAATATTGCTGTTTGTTGATAATATCTTTTGTACATGTTTTTCTTAGACTTATAAAAGAAGATGGTTCAACCTGAAGCAAACATCCAATGATGGTTCTTATGTCCTGGAATACAGAAAAGTATGAATGTTACATAGGTTATAATACTTCAATACTGTTGGGGTGGTGAAGGGTTGGAGGGGAAGGCGGGTTAGATGCCAAAGATTACAAAAAAAAGATAAAAGAATTAATGATGTTCCAACAGCTAAGTTCACCTCAATCTTAAGAGGATTATGATACATTATTATTTTTAGCTTAAATTTTTAATTAAGTATGAAAAAAGTTAACCAGGTTTGAATATTATTTTGAGCTGTTGAGACATAAAACTACCACAAAAAGCACTCACTCTTTCAACAACAAAAAAACATTTCTCTCTCTCTTGACTTCAGTTTCCAAATCAATTTGAGAAGTGTATGCTAATATAAAAGACMTAATCCATCTAGACATAATATTTTCTCATTTCAAATCACTTGTCACCATCTTGAGAATAAGATAATATGCTCAAGTCATCCATTTTCATGTGTCCTCTGATGCGCAACCATTAAACAAAGAAAATATACTCTAGARAATGACATGTGGTCTGAAATAAAAAGTGAATTCGGTCTATTATCTACCAGAGCCAGAGGTCTAGACCTAATTTGCTAACCTTGGCTTTCTCATGGTTTTCTTAATCAAGGTCAACCCGGCTGTAATAACATCGTAAATTTAATATACTCACCAAAAAACAGAATAGTGTTTGGCATTCCTGTGTGAATTTCTTATCGATCTTCCCACTGCACTGTCTGTTAATTATTACCCCAGTCTATCATCAGGATAATGCAGCTTTGACATTTACACTGTATATTGTTTCAGGATGACCATGCCACTACAGCAAGAGGAGTCATTTATCTTGATTCCTGTACGCATATTTCCAAGGTCAGTAGGGTTGGATAATCGTTTTAATGTCAGCTAYATTGTAAGGGGAATTTTCCAGTTTGGAAAATAAAAACTCATTTTATGCAAAAAATATTGCATTGTTTCTTTCCGGCTACGATATGGGTAGTGAAACCCCTTTACTTACTTTTAGAGAGCAATATTAAATTTGCAAAATCTAAATCCACTCATAAAGCATTTGTGCACAAAATCTCAACGCAAACGCTTACAAAAACTCTATCTGATAGAGTAATTGCTTGCAACACTTTAGCCGCAGTATAGACCTCCTTACCTTGGGAGTTATGTTTTCCCAATTTCAGATTACGAATCATTCTCTTGAGAATGACGTTCTTTGTTTGAGTTGTATCCATATTCATAGTCTTCTCGTGCKCAACCGTTAAACAAAGAAATAATACTTTAGGGAATGACATGTGGTCAGAAATGTTAAAACATGACGCAGTGCGCGCTTCGTAATTTGAACATTTTATAACAGTTCTACTACTGACTTCTTATTTACAGGGTGTTAAAGGCAAGATGTATGGTTTTGAGTTACATATACATGACAAGACATACAGTCTAGTAGCCGATAGTCAAAGTGACATGGATCAATGGATAGCATCACTTTGCCGTGTCACTGGTATCGATATAGACTCTTGTAGCAAATCTACTGGCATTTCTTTCTCTGTCAAGACAAGACTTCCTACAAAGCAAAATCAGTCTCTACGTGAAAGCCTCAAAAACAGTAAACATCCTATTCTACTGGAATACTCCAAGGAAACAGACGTTCAGAACGCTAAAAGACGCCGAGAGAATCGGTACAAGTTGTTTTCTCTCGTACGCGACTTGGACAGTAGTGCGTGTGTTAGTTTTGATGATGCGCGGGTTGACGCTACGGTTTACAAAGAAAATTTCGGGACAAGATTCATTGTTTCTTTTCAAGACTTGAAATTTCGTCTTACTAATGTGTTTTCTAATGGAGAAGAGACGAATGTCGAGCCGTTTTTCATCAAGCTTGCTATATTCGATGCTAAAAAGGGCATTAAACTGTCTGAGGATTTCTGTTGTGATTTGAACGATCCACGAGTAGCGGACATGCTTAAAGGTGGGGACTTGATTGAAAATGGAGAAACAAATGGCGATGCAATTAACGAAGAGAAACGAAGTAAAAATGTCAAGAAAGAAATACAGTATGACCATCCTACCAATGTGAGTATGTATATTCGTTAATGATGCTTTAAATGGAAATTGACGTCATTTGCGGTACGATGTATGTTTGCGTCTTTACATGACGTCATTTTGCTGTTTTGTTCTTTAAAATTGATTCTACTGGGTTGCCTGTGGTAGCCCAGTCGTAAAATGTCTTCCGTTTTTGTTTTTTTGTGTGGTCTCCTCGCGAAATGTGTATTCTTGCGCAAGAGTACCCATATATGGATTTGAATGACGTGTTCATAGATTCTGGGCTCATAGATTGGCTTAGCAGCTGAGGATGTAATTCCGGGCTTTAGAGACACGGCTAAAAAACCGCTGCGCACGCGCCAAAATTTCGAGATGACGAGACTAAAGCTCAAGACTCATTTCCCGCCGTGACACTGACCTCAGACTACACGAAAAAAATGATCTGACTTGCACTTTTTCCTTTCTCGTACACGAAGCCTTCAACGAGATACCTGGAACCGACTCCTGAATRACAATCGTTTAGTCTGAGGTCAGTGTGACGGCGGGAAATGTCACGCAATAGAATTTCTGACAACTCCCGTACGAATTATTCGCGATTGTTATTCGTACGGGAGTCGGTTCAGCAAATATTTACCAACATTTTTCACTCCCGTACGAATTATTCAGGATTGTTATTCGTACGGGAGTCGGTTCAGCGAATAATTTCGAAATAGAATCACTAGTTATTTATAATAAAATCAAATCAAAGGATAAACGCTGCAAATTCGGCGTAAAAAAACGTCTACGTTCCGTACGATCCAGTCAACCGAAGTCCATTCCATTCCATCTACGTACGGTTCCAGATTTTCCAAAATTAAAAAACACTCAAAATTCGGGTATTTACAAGAGGAAAACAAGTTTTAGAAATTGGGTATGTTTTTTCTATACATTAAGATTATCCATGGCCATTCAAAAGGTGAAAATTGAAAACCTTTTTTTATTCAAGATCCAGTCACTGCTGAGGCCCTGTCACTTGTAAATCATTTCAGTCAAAAATATTCCATTTCAGTCACATCCAAATAACATCCAATTTATCTCAATAGCATCTTAATGGAGGAAAATTAGTTGTAAATATCTGTAACGATCCACAGAGTCACCTAGACACATGATGTATACAGTCCTTTAAAAAACCTTTGCCGCTGATCGGCTTCACAGGACTCTAACCAGTGCCACGATCCAAAACAAAAAGAAATTGCATTTTTGCAAAATTTCGGAATAGAATCATTACTGGGTTGCCGGCGGCAGCCCAGTTGTAAAATGCCTTTGTTTCTTTTTTCGTAGTATCAGTTCTCTCCAAAGGTGCATTCTTGCGCAAGAGTACCGACGTGTTCAGAAGTGTTTAGAAGTAATATAATTAAGCAGTGAAAGAAGACTTTCTAGGATTGTAATTCAGATATTTATTAGTATTAATACAGCTACTCAATAGAAAAATACGGCTTTCAGTCTCTGGTTAATCTTGAAGGCATATACATAAATATATCGAATATATATTTTGGATAAATTTGATGTGAGAAAAAATAAGTGTTCGCAAGTTCCGAAAGAAAAATACACCTAAAATGTTCCAAAGTACCCGCTCCGGAATAGCGGTACACAATGAAGATTAGGTTTTAAATAAGCTCCAGCATACCAGCACATTGGGCAGCCCAGTGCACGCTCCAAGAGCGTCTTGTTCTTAAATACTTTGAGATGTCAAGTCCCTTTCTATTTGCGCACGTGCATATCTCGCGTGCCTCGCGCAAACACATCGAGACTCATTTGTTCTTCGCGATTCTCGCATATTGGTATATCGCATTTAGGGTACCTGCCTGCCTCTTTCCATTTATCCAATCTTTCTGCGTGGCTTTTTGTTTGGTTCAAAGTTCAAGGTTCACGCGCCAGTCAATACATCTCTCCAGGCGTCCCCTTTTCTGCATACCTCACAAGGGACGCGCGCCTTTCTTTCTCTCCAGTTCAGAATAACTCCACCCTCTCACATGCTCGGCAAGTTTTCTTATCTGACTCGTGAATTCATGGTTTTCATGTAGGCTATATTCTCCGTAACGTGTCCGCACGCTGAAGTATATCTAGTAGTACGGATAGAAAAGGTCTTACAAGGTAGCATTGGTTCTTGTGTGGAGCCTTATATCAAATCAGGAGACATCAAGAAGACTGCGGTAAAAGTTCTTAGACTGGCTGAAATCTGCTGCAAGAAACTAGGRCAGTATACCATGCCTTTTGGTTGGGCGGCACGGTGAGTTTACAAAGTTATCCGCGATTACTAAACAGTAATGTAAGGCAAAAGGGATTCCCTCGAGAACGCGATTTCAATAGAACACTTTAGTATCATAGTTCATGTCTTTGAAGACATGAGGGGATTCCCTCAGACCCACCCGAAACAGGATTCCCCTTGACTCAACTAAGAAAAAAGGGGATTCCCTAGACTCACCTCGTATAAAATTGTAACATTTGTTTTTATCTTTTTTATGTTAAGGCAAATATTTAACAATGAAGGGACTCTTGATGAGAATGCGGAGTTTACTCCTATATACAAGCAGGTTCGTTGCATCATCGCATTTTTGTTGTGTTATACCAAATTATATTCGTTATAACTACCTCTACTCTACTCTACTCTACTCTACTCTACTACCTCTAGGACAGAGAAAAACTCACCGATGAAGATATGGTCAAATTGTTGTCAAACGTATCCAGGTTTGTGCTCTGCAGTGTCTTTAATTAGCTAAGAATTAATCTGCTATTTTACCAGAGAACATTGCAATAAGCTAAACGAGCTAACACCTTACCTTGCTTCTGCGCTCCCTGCCTTGCTAGTAAAACCGGACAAAGAAATAGAGACATTGCGGTATTGAATGATCGATGAATGGTCACGGCTACCCTGACAGAGGGCCGCAACGCTGGCTCATGTGCATGCGAAAAGATGATCAGTAATATCATGGTGTATTTCATTATGTCTTCCAGTAATGATAAACTAAAACAGCAGATAATCCCAGCTACTTTACAGATCGAAGTGGGACGAGTATCAGATTCTACCAAAAGTAAGCATTGAAAAATCCCATGCTGTATCCCAGAAACATTTAAAACATGCATCAATGACGTTACACTCAATAAGTGTTTCATGCGCAACAAATGTTTTATGCGCAACAAAGGAAATTTGGTTTGAGTAAAGGGTATACGAGCAATACAGTTGGACTCAAAAATCCCTTGAGATATGAATAACAATGAAACGACTACCATGTTGCTTGATCTACCAAGAGAAGCTAGTGAGGAATGCTTTGTTATAGTCAGCCAAGATGGTGGTTATGACGTAACATGCTCTATATTTGCTCTGTAGCTTGCAAAATTGTTGCGTGACAGGTCACGCAACCTAAACCTAACTTTTTTCCCCAATATTACCGAACCTGAAACCATAAAATTGTCGTTTTTCGCGCATTATATACATGCTAAGTGAACATGTAGTTGAACTGTCTTTGTTTGTCTGTTATTAGATGTGCTTACACCTTCATTGATGTGCGTCAAGCCATTCCACTACTCGATTAAAGAACCACCCACCATCGAGATAGAAGAGTTCAACCAGTCCATTCCTGAAGCAGCCTATCCTCACACCACTTACGTCAATAACTTCTATATTTATCCACTGACGCTCAATTTCAATAGCCAGAAAGTCTTCTCAAAGGTAAAGATGACAATAAGTATCCTGCACTACCACTGGGTATTACCTGACACCAAGAGAAAATGAACTAGATGATTGTCTCTTGCTGACCCCGTATCACCCCTCCCCCTTCCTTAAACTACTTACATCAATAAACCACTTGCATGTGACGTCAAAGCATCTCAATTTAGAGGACAAGAAAACAGATTTTCAATCTCCGGAAAATTGGAAACCTATTATGTCCTCCAAATTGAGTCGCACTCCGTCATGCTACAAGGGGTCTATAAGGTCTTTTCAAAGGTACTCATGGATGACCATATCTATTGGACCCCAGCCCGCGGAATTCCTGTTGTAATCGTTAAGTTGACCTGTGGTATGCAAGACGTGTTTCTAATACTCACGCTTTTTCATCAGGCAAGGAATATTGCAGTTACGATTGAGTTCAGAGACATTGATGCTCAAGATGCTCTTCCACTCAAGGTACGTTATCTTCAGGTTTAACCTGGACCTTTCACAATTATCACTACCCAATTTAAGATTCGCCGACTGCAGACTACAGACTACTTGTTACTCAGATATCGGTCTTAAAAATAGCCAAACAGACATTCATCGTCAACACTACGTCAACAGTTTGACTATTTACTGTAGCAGTTGGGGTAAGAAAATAAACTGCTAGGAACATGGGCAGAAAGATTCGACCCAGCTATTCGGCGAAAATTTCATAGTCCATTGTCTGTAGTCGTCAAATCTTAAATTGACTACTGTTTAACAAGCGGATGCAGGCATTGCTATTGAGGTTAATTGGCTTACGGTTCGTTTTTAGTGCATCTACAACACAAATGGAACACCAACGTTAACCACGCGAGTAACTGCCGCAGTTATACATCACTGTACCAACCCAACATTTTATCAAGAGGTAAGTCATACAACTCCATAGGTATTGCGTAGTTCTTATGACTTGGCGTGCCGTGCCGTGCAGTACCGCGATCATGACCTTACCGTGTTCAAATATATTCATGGAGTTAACAATAATATCAGGTGCAGCGATTGGTTCAAGGGATGCTGTCAATCCGGCGTAGCGTGATCGTGCTTCTGCTGTGCCGTTTAACCTTCATACGACTCGCGTATTTCAGTAGATAATCGTACGGATACAATACAATACAGTCAGAAACAGAGGTGTACCATAGAAATTGAATTTGCCCTTGAGAAATAAAGAATGAGAGGGAGAGGGGGATTCCCTTGGAACTCGTGTGGGGATTCCCCTAAAAATTAAGGATGCCTCATATACCTCATCATCATACTTATCATTCGTCATTCGTCCGCGATAAATAAGAGGGTGGGGGGGATTCCCCTCAAAAAGTAATACTATCTCTAGTATAACTCTTACCATCTTGTGTCTTGTTTTCTCTAGGTCAAGATCAAACTGCCCACACAAATAACAGAAAAGCATCATATTTTCTTCACATTTCAACATATCGCTTGCGAGCAGAGCAAGAGTATGGGCGGTGCCGGGTCGGTACGAGGAAAACCCTCGCCCGTAGAAACGCCTGGTATGTACTGCACATGCGAACAATTGCAGCTTTACAATATAGTTTATTTGTCAATCATAGCAATCACGATTACTGCACTCCCGTGTCTGTCTTGAGTTTTTTGTGACTTAACTTTTGAATATCACGCAAAGTGACTGTCTTGCGCTTTTTGTAACGTATCATTAAACAGTCACGCAAAGTGTCTGTCTTGAGTTTTTTGTTACTTAACTTTT